CTCTTCTCTCCCCTCTTTTCCACCCATCTCTCCTCTCCTCCCCCCTTTTTCTTTGCTCACCCCAACCGGTCGAAGCAGATGACCGCCCACATTGAGCCTGGTTCTTCTAGAGGTTTCTCTCTGTTAATGAGGGAGTTTTTCCTCCACAGTCGCCAAAGTGCTGCTCATTGTGGGAACTGTTGGGTTTCTCTATATTAATACGATTTTAAGGTCTTTACCTTCTATGTAAAGTGCCTTGAAATAATGTATATTATGATTTAGCGCTATAGAAATAAAATTGAATTGAAATTGAATTAAATAACATTGATGTTCAGCTTTGGTCAGGCAGGCTGTAGTTTGTTCTAGCTGTGTTGTCTTCTCTAGATTCATGAAACTTGCAACATCTCTCACAATCACTCATTGTATGTCTGTTTTGATTAATTTGCATCTTCTATAATTTAAGATTCTACAGTAAAAAGAAACGTTTTTAAAGTGCTAGGAGGAAGGAGGAAGGATAACAAAGGAGATGCGGAACATCTGAGTCACTTGCCAATAAAGACGAGCAGCAGTCCCACTGCGACTTGTAGCGTGATAGACAGAGACAGCAGGACAATGAGAGGGAGGTAGAAGCGGTACTGAGGCCCCACATAGAGAACAGTCTTCAGCTGGGATGAGTTGGCCATCAACAGAGCGACATCCAGCATGCTCTGAGCTGCACTCTTCTTCGTGGCATAGTGGTTAATGTTGATGGAGCGATACACTTTTCCAGTGCGCCCTGTCACTGCCTGCGAGTTGAAGAAAGTCAAACTTCAGCTACTGTGGATGAACAACATCACAGAGGTGCTAAATTGCAGCCACTGCATACGTACAGTTCAATCATTGACAGTTATTCTGGGTTTTTTGATAAGACTAGTCGGCATGTGTACATGGTAAATCTGTCTTCATATAGTGCTTTTCTAGTCTTGATGAACAGGCAAAAGCTCTTCACACGACGATTTACTGCATTGGAAGCAATGCGTCAACCCCCCAAATTGCAATTTGGCGATCATTGTCATGCCAAAGGTTATTTAGGCACGCAGAACGGGAGAAACAGGGATCAAACCTCCAACCCAATGGTTAGTGGATAACCCACTCAACCTCCTGAACTACAGAAGCCCAAAATGCACACTAATATTCCACCAATACACATATATAACAATATTTATAATTTGATATGAGTTATGGAAACCGCATATTAGAATTGTAAAAAACGATTTAGCATTTTGTGATGACAACATGTAGAATATGATGTTATTATACAGACAAGCTATTTGGAAGTGGAAAACTTTCCACCATCAGCTTCATATCACATTCGTCACATGTTGCTTTATCAAATTATTGTGTTTTATCAGGCATATAAAAACAATTAAGAAAATGGTCTATTTTGGAAGAAGAGCAAAACCCAGAATATTTTGTGCATGTTTTTTCTCTTTCACATGTCCGATTGCTCTGTACATTTGTGCACACGTCACAATGGTTTATTCCAAACACAGACAGGTGTTTTGTTGCTATGAACTAAGGTGTGGCAGTGAGAGGAAAAGTGGGAGTGGCAGAGCGACAGATGATGACTCACTTGGCCGGAGGGAAAGGCGACAAGACGCAACATGTTGTCAGACGTTCTTCTACCTAAAGAAATCTAGTGAGCTAACAAGTCATGTCATGAATTTATACGTGCTAGTGCGGAGAGAGTGAACTGTACGTAGGCAGAAGGGCTGTACATGAGGTGATGTCAGACACAGGTAAACTGTTCGGGATTGAAGTGTCTATACCCTCATCTCCCACAGCACCACTGACAGAAAACCACTGTTTTGTATCATCACTGGCAAAGGCATGGCATATTCTCAGGGCTTTACCCATGAGACGTCACACCTGGGTGCAGTTCTCTTTGAGCCGCAGTGCTTTCATTCAGCTCTATGCACAGCTGACTACTGTGGGAAAAAGCATGAGGTTCTGTCACCCCTGACATTTGACATTCCTGTAACAGACTTTAAAGCAGAGATCCCCAACCTGGAGGTCGTGACCCTCAGAGGGGTTGAAAGATTTTATTGTCTTTTCGTCTTCTCCAGACTTTTCTTTTTTTTAATTTGGGAAAACAGGGGAGACAACACTCAGTTGAACTGGTCACCACTGTTACTGGCAGACATATACTTCATTAAAGAAGTTCACTAAAAAAACAACAACAGGCCCCAAATGATAAAAGGACAAGTGTCGATATTAACTATATTGAATTGTGTATTTATTATCTTTATAGACACTAAAGTACTTGGTCTCCTACTGTAGTTAAGCTCCAGTGTTTTTTCTGCCGAATAACTGAAAGTAAATGGTACAGTGTTCTATACATAGATGTGTATCAATTTTACAATCTGCTTAATGTTACGATAATGATGTGAAACACAATCTTAAGTTGTTTTTTAAATATCAAGGGAACAAATGAAACGATCCAGTACTATGTACAGTAGATGAATACATGACAACCATTTAACTTTACTGTATTGAAGAGCAGAACAGAACAGTAAAATCAGAGGACTTGTCAGTGTCTGTGTTACCCACCTCTATGTCGCCCACTTTACTCAGAGGTATGTCCTGTCTGTTCAGTCTGTCCATCGTTTGCTGACTCCACGTTCGATGTGATGGATGAAGTGCGCTGGGATGAAGTCTCTGCTGTTGAGCGAGCAGACAGGACTAACAAGTTAGGCTACTCCTCCAGTCGCAGGGACAGTGGAGAACACCCCTCCCACTCTGCGTCTTTGTAGTTCTTTATTCACAGCACAACCTCCAACCTTACACTTCACTTCCATCATCATAACATGTTGCTGCTTTGACATAAAATTTCAATAATGAGAAAAATGCAGCCCACCACTTTAATTTGGAGGCACATATTTGTATTACTTATATCATGTCTGTCATACACACTATAATTATTATTATGGTTATCATTGTTAATAAAAAGCATAATAATGATTACAATGATAATGATAGTAATAATTATAATAATAGTAGTAATAGTAATATATGACAATGATCATCTAGACAAAATTACACATTCACAGGTCACAAGTTAAGTCAGTGAGACAATGAGAAAGTGGTTGAACTTGTAAATAAATGCAGTAGCTTTAACATGTGTATTCATGTTCGACAGCTGTTCTGTCATAGATAAGTAAAACTATAGTGTAATATAAGTTTCACCTCATTTTTATAGCATCAAATGTTGAATCAAGTGATTTAAAAACAAATTAGCCGAAAAAATAACACAACCTAAAACAATAGAGTGTGGTCATTTTCCGTTCACTAACAAAGTGGAGGGGAGATTTCTGACTTATACTGCAGTCAGCCACCAGGTGGTGATTGAGATGCTTTGGCTTCACTTTTAGAGCAGTCAAAGCGTCCATCTTTATTCAAAGTCTATGGTTTGACCTTCCTAGATTTTTCTACATTGCATCACTAACTTAAAACTGAAAGAAATTAATTTTGATAAACAAAAAATTGTTGTTTTGTTCCACCTATCATCACATACTGAAATAATTGCCCTTGAACCTTGAACTTGAACAGTTGTCATGAATGTGCCGGTGTCTCGATCGAAAATGACACTTGATGAGTCCCAGAGCTCTGGTCCACTTTTTTATTCAAACTTTATTCATATTGAATGTATCACGTGTCCAAATTCAACACACTTCTTGATGACATGACACATGTGAAGATGAGAAGTTCTTGGATGGATACCAAACGATATAGGCAGGAGGTTTCTGAGTTTAGTAAAAATGTATGTTCTTGTATTATTTTATTTCTGTAATGTGAAATAAACAAATAAATGAATATTGCATTTAGGTTTGTTTAAATAAGCACACATGGATTTGTAAATGTTTTTTATTTTGAATTGCCGAGCTCTCGAGGAAGCTGTTGACTATATCCGGGTCACTGTCGTTCAGCGGCCACACATCATGGCGGCCCGCTTCGCCCTCACCTCCACGGCGCTCCGCAGGGCGCTGCACGGAGCGCTGGGTCTGCACTGCCGGGCACAGGGAGCTCCTGTCGGGCTCAGGTTCGTTTGTAGCGCTGCTCCAGAAGAAAAGAAATCAGGAATAATAGAGTCTACGGAGGAATACAGCTTCGTGGAGCGGCTCATCCCGCCGTCACGGGTCCCTGCTCCGCCGAAACACGCCGGTCCCACCCCGTCTGGATGGACCCCTGCAGCGGACTCACCGCCGCCTCTGCCCTACATGATCCGCCGCTCCCGAATGCACAACATCCCGGTGTACACCGACCTGACCAACAGCAACCGCAGGACCACGCTCGTACGCAAAGTGGAGGGGGACATTTGGGCTCTGGAGAAGGACGTGAAGCAGTATCTGAAGACGGTGACGGGGAAGGAGCTGCCCACACAGGTCAACGAGGTCACCAAGACCCTGAGGGTCAAAGGCCACTTCGATAAGGAGCTGAAGGAATGGTTGGCCGGGAAAGGCTTCTGAGCCCCGGGGGTGAAGAGGCGGCGGCGGGACCGTCACAGACCGAGCTCATGGAGACATGGAGGACACTCAGTGTCTGCTGTCTACACTGTGGTACTGTCACTGTGCTGTAGCACCATGTGGAAGAGGTTTGATCCCAGACACTTCAGTGAACTCTTCCCCACCAGAGAGACGTTGAAGCTGTTTAATGCTGAACATACTTGTATGTATGAATGAACACATACTGTATGAATGTAAATAAATGTCAAAGCTAAACCCACCACCACCTGCTTCTGTTGTTTCACTGAATACAGACATGAAACTCGCGTCACCTGAAATCCACACTTTGTTTGATGTCTTCCTGTGACAGTTTGGCTTTTCATGGAATTAAAGGTGTTGTAAAACGTTTTATCAATCCACGTGATATTTAATGTTAAAATGTAAAAAAACAACAACAAAAAAACAGCTGATAACCAGATAGCATCCAAAATATTAAAATGTATTCAGTCACAATATTCATTTACATTTTCTGCAAAGAACATTACAAATTAGGGTCAAAAGAATGAATGTAAAACTTGCACAGTTGTCAACCCTGAAACCATTCTCCAATCCAAACCTGCCTATTTGGAATTGGCTAAATTACTTAATTATTTGGGCCTGTAAAGCACGTAGCGACTCATCAGTGGACAGTGCTATACAAATAAAAATGTCTCACTATAATGAAAGTGAATTTGCTTTATCACTGCTGTGTGTGGTTTAAATGCTGTTGTTTTTTCATACATTGCATGCAGTTATTTGAGGTCTGCTAAGCAATCAACAAAATCTTCAGACCCAAGTTTGCAACTTTTCAAATAAAGGCTGTCGTTCGGTTCCATAAAAAGCATTACAGCAACATTTAAAGTCAACTTGGTAAACAGGAAGTGATTCTATGAACGTCACTGCCATGATGGAGATCAGCACCTGTGAATCTCTGTGTCAGTCTGATATGGTGAAATTTAATCAAATCATCAAAATGATCTGTCTGTGATATTGACCCAGTTGCTGACGACTGCTGTAGTTTATCAGGAGACATAGAAGATTCAACACAGTCCACGGACTGAAGGCCCACGATCCTTATTGGTCTCAGTTTACAAGTACACATGAAACTTTGAACATCATCCCAGTGTTACTGCATTATTCCAAGAGCTTCGCTCACTTCAGCATTCAATTATTCATGGTGATGGTCTGAAGTTGTTGCCATCAGTGAGAGAAAGTCTTTATTTCGCCTGGTAAGTTCTGCCAGTTGGTCCGCTGGAAAACAAACACATGAAACAGAATTACTGCCACTCCATTATTTGCCTCCTCCAAGCAGTGACATTAAAACTATACTCTCTATCTCCTCTTCTGTTCCCATGCCGTGTCGTGACATTGAGATGTCACTATGAATTTTGACCACTTCATCATATTCCATCTGACATTTAACTAATAATTACAGTAGGAATTCTTTAGCTAGTGTAGAAATCGAATTCCCTCGAGGTGTTCCTGACATATCACTCATAAGAATGTGATGCTGTCACTGGTGCAGTGGCGCAAAAAATATAAGCAGGACACAAAACGACTGTATCAACAATGTGCAACAAACTTGAGTATTCACTTACGTAGCGAGTGCTTCTCTCCTCTCCTCCAGTAGCGAGGTTCTGTTTGTAGCGCGTTAACTTCTTCACTCATGGACGCAGAAGCTTCTGATACTTCATTTAACAGATCCAACTCCTAACGAACGAGAAACACAAGAGGAAGAGGCGTCAGTGACCTTGTTTCCACAGCTCAGGCTGGTCAGCTGGTTTGTTTCCTACAAATGTTAGAGTACCGTGTTGCAGTCGAGCAGTAGTTGGTGTACTCTCTGGAAGACATCGGTCTCTGTGCTGAGGCTTGGTGGGTCTCTGCTGCAGTAAGCTCTCAAGTCTGTTTCATAAACATGGCTGAAAGTAGCCATCAACTGCTGGAGGTCGCACGCTGCCACGCGCAATGAGCTGGGAGAGAAGACGTCAGGACTCTGTGCCTCCTTCAGGAATTCACACTAAGGAGAACACAATTCTTGTTACTGCGATGACCAAGTTTTACATCCTCTATGACACCACAGGCATCAAGGGCCACATCAGCAAATACCTCTGACTGTAGCTGCTCCAGTGCTGACTGAGCCTCTTGAAGCAGGGCAGCCACATCAGCACCCTCCTCTCTCCTTGGCTTGTGAGAGGACTTGGTGCCTTTGTGTAAAGCCCTGTGAGTGAGACAAGTATAAAAGTCAACAAGGAAACGCTGTGACACATGTAGACCCACAAGAAAGGCAAACTCCAGAGAAAGACCCAATTGTACGGACATTCTCCAGAGCTCATGTTTGAATACGGGAGCAGATAGGAACAGGGATATAAGAAGTGTTTTGCATGGAAATCAAAGAAACCATATATACTTGATGTGTGCAGGCCAGGGGTTGAATGTGGGTTCAAGCATTTGTGATAGGTGAGGCAGATTCTCAGCAGCAAACACCTCGCTCAGTAACATCTCTGCATCCATTTTTTTCCCGGCAGACTTCTTGCAGCCTGGCACTAAAGTTAAAAGCTCCTCCAGGAATTGAAGCTGCCGGTAAGGACTCGCATCACCCTGGATAAATAGTGTGACAAATGACAGACACATCAGGACATTGGTGTTTACCGTAGCAGTGAAAGTATTTCTGTAAACTAATTACATCTTCCCTTGTTATACACAACATCTCACCCTGATCAGATCCAGGTCACTTGATTTGCACAGCATCAGCTCCTGCCCAAGCAGAGCCATTTCTGTTCATACAAAAACATACCACTGCAGTATAAGAGGTCATTTAAGTGTCAATGTCTAAAAATATAGATATAAACTACTGAGAATATTTTCCTCTCCTCCTCAAGGTTTCTATCTTTAAAAGACAACAACGTTACCTTTAGTTAAAACATCCGAGTCTTTCGATTTCTTTGACATCGACTTGGAAGTGGCAAAATTTGGGTTGATGCTGTAAAGTGACAGGTCAGGAAAACACAGATGTTTTGTTTAGGTTTGACTGTAAAAATAACAGCAGGGCGATGTTCAGTGTAGATTATACTACCTGCTGCAGATCCATGCCAGTATGTCAGTGCGGTGCTGAGATGGAGTGCACAGCAGCTTGAACATGCTGTCTGTGTCCTGCAGGTACAAACCTTCCACCAAGGGACAGGACGCAGCCTCAACAAAGACCACACAGACACAACAGTAAATTGAATACGTCAGCTTCTACCTCACTCTTTGCAAAACTATATGACAGTAAACCGTGATAACAGACATATTTCAAGAAAAAACTAAAGGTGCCGCAGTTCAGACTAAACCTTGAACAATTTCTACATTATTAGTAAGGGTTTAGTGTGAATATTTCAGAAGTACTACAGGACGAATATTTGAGCAGTAGCTCAGTCCATAAGGATTTGGCTTGGGAACCGGAGGGTGGCCGGTTCAAGTCCAGCATGGACCATAAGCATGGAAGGTGGACTGGTAGCTGGAGAGGTGTCAATTCACCTCCTGGGCACTGCTGAGGTGCCCTTGAGCAAGGCACCGTACCCCCCAATTGCTCATAGGGTGCTTTTCCTGGGGCTGCCCATCACTCTACCATCTCTCTCCAAAAATGTGCATGTCTTTGAGCCCTCTGTGTGTGTGTGGGATTGTGGGTTAATGCATGTATAAAATGAAAAACATGAGTGTAAAAAGAATTTCCCCTTGTGGGATCAATAAAGGAGGTTTAAGTTTAAGTTAAGTTTATCGCAGCAGGAAACATCGATAGAAGTGAGACATGTTTTGAGTGCACGTCTACATGAACCCACTGTGACCAACAGACAACCTAATTAGAACTAAAGTCATGAGAACAAGTAAGAACACAACCAAAGGGTCCAGTTATATTAGATAGAATGTTTGGTGTTCAGTTGTCCTACCTGCAGTGCATCATAAACAAGCCGTGCAAGCGTTTCTTTCGAAGGAGCCGCCATTTCCAAACAAACCGCTCACTTCTTCTTCTTCATGTGTTGGTGAACCACAGCCACCCACCACCGCTTCTTCTTCTTCTTCTTCTTTGGACACGGTAGATTAGACAGCTCGATTGCGTTATGCTGCCCTCTGCCTTCTGTTTTCTGCCACTATGTTCCAGGATTCCAGGAACGGTACAATACCCAATAGAGCACAGTAGAATGAAACAACAGACTAGGTCTATAAACACAAAAATATTCATCTTTATTACCATTATAACTGAAAACTGAAATCATAAAATGTGTCTATTGTTCATCATAGCATGGCAACAAAAAAGGAATTGCACTTAAATGAACACTTGAGTTAAATAGACATGACGAGTACAACTAAGAACAAGATGAAAGGAACAGGATGGAGAGGTTTCAGATTCAATACCAATCAAAACATGTGTTTGTCTGGTAATGTCTAAAAACAGTCAATAGTACATCGACTTGTAAATACTGATTTAAAATGTTTTTGAGGGGGTTCCGGCGAATAAGTCACCAAAGTGAACTTAGTAAATCCCTCTCATAAGTGTGTCTGTATGTCATGTTTTGTCTCTGTGAGTGTTTTCTATGTATTATGTCGATGTCAATACAAACTAAAAACTGCGGTCCATGTAAATACCCGATACACTCCGTTCCTGTAGGTGGCGGTAATGCGCCTCAATGATGGTTTTCCAGCCGCGGCGAAAAGGAAAGGCAGAAGCGTAACTTCCGGGATGTGAGACCCTCGCTGCCAGGCTGGACCGTGTCTGTGGATAATCACTCACGCTGGGATTCAAAGCGCAGTTTGTGTGAGAGACTGAACAGAGCGGCTCTTTCTATGCGTTTACGCTGCTAACGTAAGTCTACGCTGCCCCCCGCTGATAACATGAAGAAGAGGAGCTCAGAGAAACGGCGCCATGTGGTCGCGTGGGTCAACAAAGCGGAGTGGGACCAGGTGCTGGAGTACCTGTACTCCAAGGACTCCTCCTTACAGAGGTACGCGCTGCACAGGATCTCAGCCTGGAGGTCCAGGTACGCCAGCAGCTGCCCTGTGGCGGTGGACTGCACGGCGGACCTGGTGAGGAGTCAGGTGCTGGACCGGTCGGGACAGCTGGAGGGAGATGATCTGGTCCTCCTCTACGGAGCAGCGCTGGTGCGATTCGTCAATTTGATCACCGAGAGGCAGCAGGGAAAAACGGCCCGACCACTGAGACGCCTGGCGGGGAACCTGAACATCCCAGAGTGGGTGGTAAACCTGAGGCACGACTTCACACACCGCAAGCTCCCCACTTTGAAATGGTGCAGAAAGGGCTGTGGCGTGGTGCTGGACTGGCTCCAGCACGAGTACTGGTCCAGGCAGCTGGGAGGAGGGGCTGGTGAGGACTGGGACTCGCAGTCTGATGGAGAGGATGAGGAGATGGACCTGAGACGCCAGGAGGATGACCTCATCGCAAGGCAGAAAGAAAAGGAAGCCTACAAGACAGCAAGGGAGCTGCTGATTTCTTTTGAAAAGGAGCAGTACCATGCTATTAATGGGCTTCCTGGAGACGCAGAGAAGAGCCTGTGGCCAGCGCCCTTCGCAGACATGAGCTGGTTACTAGGTGAGATCAAGCAGTTTGCTGTGGAGTCAAGTGATTTGCTGATCGACGTGATGCTAGAAGATGGATTCCTGGTTCCGACCGTTGAACAGCTGGAAACATTAGGCTGCGACACTTCTGCCAGTGCCAGTCCCACTGAACCCAAACTCCACCGCGCCCTCCTGCGCTTTTGGCTGCCTCTCCTGAAGATGCTCAACTCAGAAGCCTTCATTCACCTCCTCCTGGAGAAGCTCTTTGTTGAGCTGAAGCTGCTCACGAAAGAGTGGAATGATCACAGGGCTTTCTACCTCTCTGCTTGGATTTCTGAAGTCATCCACTGTAACAACAACAAGTTCGAGTACCACTTTGAAACAAAGGGCCAGAGGAAGGCCAGAATCAAGGACAGGATTTTTGTGCAACGTATCCAGCTGAGGTGGCAGCAGGTACTCTCAGCCTGTCTGGACGCTCCCTGTATCAGCACGCCTCACCTGCTCCAGTTAATCCTGGATGACATGGAGCATCCGCTCCCCCAGGAAACCAGACATAAGCTGTTCCAGCTCTGCTCCATCTACACGCAGACCGCACACTCAAACTACGACCCTTCTCCGGAGCAGAAACAGCAGCCCATATACACACTGGAGAGTCTGCACGAGAAGCTGCAGCACTCACGGCACCACAGCCACCCCTGGCGCTCCAGGGCTGACCCAGAGCGGATTGAAGCTTTCCAGGAGAACAAATCGGCCGATGCTATGGCCGAAAGAGCGAAGCTGCTCAGAGGTTCTCCGTGGCAGCTGTGTGTGGATAAAGTTTTGTGGAAGAATTATCCTCTGGGTAAAATCCCTGGACAGTCAGATGACCCCTCCGGCCTCATGTTGGAAAACTACTCAACCATGACTGTGTTTGACCAGCCGGTGGAGCTGGAGAGTAACACAGCCCACAGCGCCCCGGGAGTGTCTGCAGCAGTGAGGACAGCAGATGGTGTTCTTTGGAACCACAGTGATGTTAACAGACTGAAATCTGGACTGCAGCTATTTTGAACTGTGAAATCCAGGCTGTCCACTGCGGGCACCACGGAATCTGAGCTCTCTGTTTAGTTTTGACGTTTGTATTTTCCAAGAGTCAAAGCAACAGAGTTCCTTTTGGGACGAAACAAAGCTTTTTAAGCAAATGTTCACTGGTTCCAGGTTCTTACATGTGAGGAGTTACTGCCTTTCTCTGTTTTCTCATTTGTGACTGCAACTAATGGCTGTTTTCATACTATTAAATGCTAATTATCTCAAGAAATATTAAAAAATGTCCAGTAGTTCCCAGAGGCCTTTACTTACTTAATCTGACCAACAGCCCAAAACTCTAGATGTATTTACAAGTTTCTAAAGTTTTGCACACAAGACATGTCAAAGAATAGATGATTCATTAGCAGATTAATAGTTATTAAAAATAACTTAGTTGCAGCCTTAATGAAAGCCTTTATAAAACCTTTGTCATATTGGATTTAGTCTCTGCAGTATTTAAGACTATAACTCATGCAGAAATTCAACACACCCTATGAACCGTGTGGTAAAGACAACAAAGTGTTACAGAGTTGGGATGTGATGAATTCATGTTGTACAGATACATTTTTCTTCCTTTTACATCTGCCATTCAAGTTAACCTGCTCTGTTCATACAGTTGTTGGTCTGTGGGGTTTTGAAAGACTACATCTTGTGTTGTGCACCTGTGTTCAATAAAAACTTCTCCCCTTAAGATTGTGTTTTACTGAATCCCATCAGTTTGTGTCCACCTACCTCTGGTCATTTCTATGGTATGAATTGTAGGTCTGTGCCATAAGGAAGGAATCGACAAACTGGCCAACAAAAAAAGATAACAAAACAAAAGACACATTTTTTTATCCTCTGAAAAAATCAATAAATATCATTGTATGGAGATAAATGAATAAACAGTGGCAGCAGCACTGGCATCAGAAGATGACAGGAATACACTTCTGTTCAGTACTGTCTGTATTGAAAGAAGCAGGGAAGGATAAAATCATGATTATGTTAGTAAAAGACCAGTATACGTGATATTTTAGGGAAGCATCCTGCTGGTTTTTGTCAATATTAAGTTGATATAAAACTTTATTGATCCCACGCTGTTACAGCAGCAAATAGTCAGAAAAAAAAAATTAATGAAAAGACAGATTACGCATATAATGCACACCTATCACCATAGAAATACTTTAAAGTGCATTGGCATAGGATGATGGCACATGGATCTATACTGTATATGTGCATTAGTATACAAAGAGAAATTCACAGTAAGAGTTATACACGTGGAATTAAAAATAATATAATATTATATAATGTAATCCTTATATGTTGTGCAGATAATGTGCAAGAGGAAAGAAATTACATATTTAAAAAAAAAAAAGAATTTTTACCAGACAGACTGTAGAGCTCGTAGCAGTTATATGCAGGAACTATGTAGAAGAGAGATAAGACATGATGAGAGAAATGAAACGATTAGGGCTGAGAGCAGCAGAAGGAAAGAACAAGCATCTGAATAAGAAAAGGACAGCAGAGGAAAACCTGACAGACTGTGTAGGAGTGAGATACACAGGAGAAGGCAGCAGTGCAACATTTAGAATGCAAGCTGCTACTGAAACACAAAGTAATAATAAAAGTGGATTTAGGAGGGTGAAATTAGAAAAGCACAAGTTGGAACAGAAGGTTTAATGGCTCCGTATTTTAATTTTGGGTAGACATGATGTGGACAGAAGAATCAATGATAAATATTATTATTGTTATTTTAAATTGGAATGCAAGGGACAAGGTTAAAAAAATGTATGTCAGTCCAGTTCTGTTTTCAACTCTAATAAATTATATTTTTAGAAGTGTAGGCCTATCGATGTCGCATTATTTGCAGATGATGGAGTTATGTGTGAAAGGAATATAGAGTTTTCTGTAGCAAGACACAACAAGCAAAAATAAGACTTGGGCAATGTTGTTGTGGTTTTATATATTTTCTGTGACTTTCAATATGCGATAACCTCGAACTTTATGGAGAAAGCATAGAAAGATCACAATGTTTCAAGTATTTAGAGATCTGGTTGATAGAAACCTTACCTGAACAGCTCACATTGGAATAATGATTTTAAAAAGTGTTGAATAATTGTAAGTTGTTTGATGGGCAGAGAGAGGGGAGCGAGAAGACCACCTTTAAGTTCAGGACTATGGTTGCATCATAAACAAACAGGTTGGACACTCTGCTGTGGTGCCAATGAGATTAAACATTATTATTAAAATGATGACAACTACTACTACTACTACTACTAATAAATACATTATTATTTCCTCATTTATTTAATTTTCTCTCTTTTCCTATTTCCCCCCTCTTTTCCTACTTAGTCTAGACTTTTGTGATGAGTCCTGTCTGGGGCAGGTTGGGGTGGGTGCTCTTATTACTTTAACATGTAACGTGTTAACCTTTGAGTTTTCACTTTCAACTGCTCTGTAATTTGAAGAATTCAACAAAAGGAAATTGCTTCAAATAAGGAATCGCTCCGCACTCCAGTCCAGGAGGTGGCGGTATTGCTCCAAGAGGTTATTTACCAGGCACCCTTTAAGACAGAGAAAAGAACAGGAGGAAGCTGAAGAAGAGCAGGTTCACGGCGGTCTGCAGTCGTCGTCGCCGCGCTATTCTTCTATTTTCATGCTGTGGACGCTTTCCTTCACATCCAGTGACTCTTCTCCGAGGATCGCTTCACTTGTCGCTGATTGTTGTGGTTTGTTTACCGAGTATTTCAGTAAGTGGTTTTCATTAAGATCCTGCGTCATGCTCGCGCTCTGTTGGTTAAAGATGGCGCCTCGTGTCTGTAGTTCATTGTGGCTAATGCTAAATGTGGAAGATGAATTCTGGTTAAACGTTGCGGGAACATCGAGTGGGAACTTCAGTTTAAATACATGTTAGGCGACGTTCAGCGTGCGCTGGGCGCGAACCGACCAAGGCCTTGTTAGCAAGCTAAAGCTAAAGCAAAAATAACCATGTAAAACACCGTGATTGGGATAATGAATTGCATTTCCTGCTTGTACAGTAACAGTGGTAATACATGTTTAGCAAAGAACGCATGTGACAGTGTGTATCATAGAGCGTCCGTTAAGTGCAGTAGTGTGTGCTAACGCTAACGCGCCTAGCTTACGTAATAAGGAACAACGTTGGACAGACGTTTAGCTAACACACGTTGTCCCCGCTCTGTTTAGAAAATGGAGGATGTCAAGAGCAAACTACTTAAAGTAGACGACCAGGTTTATATTGAGTATCCAGATAGTTGGATTAACATTTTTATACAGTGTTCACTGACTGTCTTTACTAATTGCTAGTGTTGATGTTGTGGTGAGAAATGTATTATCCATATGCATATTTTCCACTATCAGCTGTAAAATGCCTCACAAAGGACACGCACAGAAAATGAAATCAAATGCATCAACACAATCCATCATTTTTAAACAAACACTGAAAGCAGTAGAACACTTCAAACTGTTCGCAGGTCAAATGTCCAAAAACAAAAGTATTAGTTGATAAGCCTTTCAGTTAAAGTGAGCTGAAATGACTATTTAGAATTAATATAACCATAGATCACGGATTCGTTCAAACAGTGAAAATGTGCCGCTTCTTGCTTGATTACTCTGTTATGGAGAAACACTCAAGTTTGTTGTTAGTAACCTTTCTGTTCTACTCTGACTTAAGTTAATATCAAAATTACAATTTTCCCTGATAAATCTGAGTTTGCTGTTATACCCTTAACAATATGTTTTCTTTGTCTTCACAGTTGAGGAATCATAAGAGACCATCTGGACAGTATCTCTGCAGTCCCGCCGTCAAGCCACAATGATCACCAGAAGAAGAGGCCGTGCTATTAACAAGACAGAGTCTGTCGAGGTTGAAGTGGTGGATGCAGTTGAAACTGTGGAGGATCTCCCATCTCCCTCTGAGGACTTCCTAGCTGAAGATATTGACACAGATGGAGTAGAGCTAGACGATCTGTTTGGAATTGAAGACTTAAAATGGACACTTGAAAAAGATGCTGCGTCCCCACTCTTCGATATGGAGTTGGCTGATCTCGGCGTGTACTGTGTCAAGGATCAAGATTCCGGGTTCGAAGCTTCCACTGCCTCGTCTCCAGAGAGAATGGCGTCAGACTTGAAGGCCAGAAACAGACAGAACCAGTCAAGCGACGTGATCAACAAAAACGCCGTTGCTGCCAGATTGAACCGTCTCAAGAAGAAAGAATATGTCAACAACCTGGAGAAGAAAGTTGGCGTCCTATCGACAGAAAACAACGTGCTCAAACAGGAAAATTCTCAGCTGACCAAGAGAGTGGAAGAATTGGAAGATGAGACCAGGTACCTGAGAGCTGTGCTGGCCAATGAGAGCATGTTAGCCCAGCTCTTGTCCAGACTGAGCGGTGTGAATGGGATGAAATTATCTTCCTCGCTTTTCCAGGGGCCTGACTCAAACGACCACGACTACGCCTTACCCAGGAAGCGTGCGAAAGTGGAGGAGAAAGAGACATCTGGTGGCGTGTGTCTGCATGTGGACAAGAACCACGTCTCTGTGGAGTTCTGCACCAAGTGTGCAGAGAGTGCAAGCACATCACTCAAAATGTAGGGTCAAGTACTAATCTCTGTTTTCAGATATTGAGACTGAACTTGATATGGCTCAGTGTACTGAACTTGTTGAGGGTAGATGAACACTGTTGAGTTAGTTAAGTTTAAATAAGACCTGCTTAATGTGCATGTGTTTTTGTGTAATGATGGATTAAGTACACGTTACTGCTAAACCTTGTTGACAGTTTCTTCTAGGTAATGGTTGATCCACCATGCGGGATGAGTGGCTTTCTGAACACCTTGCCTGCTTGACTCCATGGTAAGGATCAGACAAGAAAAGACTATGTTTTTCAGAGACCTGAAGCGTTCAGCAGTGAACTTAGTACTTCATTTTTATTTTTATCCATTCTTGTTCCCAGCTAGTGGATATTGAGTACTTTAATCAGTTCTCTTGTTTATGGTTTGTTTTAGGAAATGGTTTGATTTTAGTAAACATGTAACTAATAGTTAAATTCAAATTTTCCTGAACGCTAGAATGTAAAGATGAAGGTGACGGTCCACAAAGAGTTATTTCTGCATCAGCTGCCAAATTGGAACACAAATTGGAAAGCGATAATCCGTGGAAAAATATGTTTATACTTTGTTTTGATAAAAATTGAACTCTTTGTGAACCTGCACCACTGTACAAAAGAATACTTTTATTTAGCGCCACCTATTTTTCTTTATGCTAAAGTGGATTCTGCTGGTGGAAGGCGAAGAGGCTGGACAAGCTGCTGCCAACGTGGCCTGGTATTTTTTTAAAGGTAGTATCGGTACCAAATGGTATAAGTGATTACACTCTCCCAAAACTCCACAACATCAGTAGCTGTAGGTCTTGTCAGTGCAGCAGGAGGGCTGACTGCACCTGCTCCATTACTTGGAGCAATGCCACCAGAAGCTTGATAATTCTCAGAATCATGTCTTGTATATATTTACATATTGGAATGTATTCAATACATACATCAACTGATGAAATTGACCATTTTGGTTAAATGTGATAAAATGTAAATCTGTATATATCTTTGAATACATATTGTTTGAAGTAAATGATCCTCGAGAAATGTTGGACAAATAAATCATATTTTCGTTAAGTTTGAGTTACAAGTATCTACTGTGTCTTGCTCTGTACTGTTGATATTA